CCTGTCAGCGTGGTGCACTGGCACTTTAGTATTATTTATGCACTCCATGCACGATTTGCACGATTGGCTTTTTTTTAAAGCTTTTTGACCCACAGATGCTGAAGGTGCAGGTTTCTTCGGGGCCTATTCCTGATGCTGGGAGGAGATTCTGTGCCTCGAACGGGGTTCTCTGTCTCCTCCCACCCAGGAGGGGGGTTTCTCTTCGGGAGATCCCCCCTGCCAAGTACTGTGAGGGACCTGTTTCGGCAGGTCCCCGAAGGAAATGGTCCACCGGCCTTCGGGTTGGTGGGCCAACAGTCTCAACCCCTGTCAGGAGCCTTGCGCCCTGGGTGGTCGGGAAGTAGGTCCCTTCTTCGGAAGGACCTTGCACCCTTGTGCACGTTTTTGTGTGCTGTGATTTCACGGTTGCACTTTTTTTGTTCACAGTTTATAGCTTCTTGTGCTATCCCCCTGGTTTACTGCAGGAACATCACGGTTATAGCTGGGTTCACCTGGACATCGTCCAGCTCCCATGCTCCTGCTTAGCTTGCCTTGTTGATGATCTGGCTTTGCCTGACATATATGGATTGGTCTGATTGATTTGTATGACAGGTCTCCCTGCAGTGGCTTATTATATTATACTGCTGGGAATTGCATAGAACCCTGACATCGCTTTCATGTCTATGGACCTCCAAACTCAGGTCAATTGATGAAAGTCGCATTTTCCTACAACACTTAGATATGCATGGTCTTGACTGATTCACATGACAGTTCTATCCTTGCAGCAATTTCCTGCGGTATTTATGTGTTCTGCCCCTGGAAAGATGGCGGGTAAAGCCCTTGCACCTTAACTGTAAAGTAAATTTGCTGCTTTCCCGGTCATCTAAATGGTTAAATTAAGCCCGAGTTTTATAGTATTGATTTCCTGGAAGTACAGCCGTTACCCTGTTCTCATCCCCGCTCTCTGTTTTCATCCACAGCTTTATGTATTAAGCCAGGGACAATGCATCTACCGTGGGAAAGTGTCAAATCTCGTCCCCTACCTGCGAGTCCTGGGATTAAACTGCCCAACCTATCACAACCCGGCTGATTTCGGTAAGTAGAGCCAAACCGAGATCTTTCGCAGATTGCAAAACAACCGCTGACGTTTTTTTTTTTACAACTGCAGTTCGGTGATGAAGAACTCTTATTGCAGTTAGTGAATCAATCACCCTGGCTGTAAATAACATTTAATTGAACGTTTTTTTTAATGGTTGATCGATATGAGGTTGATTACTCAGGCATGTTTCTCAAACAAAACTGCAAATGTGTGAATATCCATTTATTCCATGTATTCTATTCCTTCTTAAAGCTGAAGTTTAATCTGCTTATATTTTACCTTCCCTGGTCCCCCCCCCCTCCCCCCCTATAAACATGCAAATGTAATTTTTAAATTAAAACCTTTAATTTTTATTACACACTTTATTTTAGAACCAGTGACATCATCACTGGGTCTCTGTGCTTCTCTTTCAGACCATGGTTGGTGGGAGGAGCCGACAGGGTGCTCCTGGCTTCCTGGAAAAAAAAACAGCAGCCTAGTACCCCTTTCAAGAGTCCTTAGCCCTGATGCAAGCAGTGGGTTGGATCATGGGAGGAGTTATGCAAATATCAAAATGCCTTGATGGGTGGATATCATGGATGGATAGCGTGTACAACTGTGCAGGGCTGAAGAGGACTTGTGTAAAGGACTATTATTTACCTGATCCCCGCTCTGGCTGGCTCCTGTACCTGCAGCTTCTTCCGTCTAGCCAGGGCCGGATTTCCATATTGGGTGCCTATACGCACAATTGAAAATCTGTTTAGCCTAAGCCGGCACCCTTACCTGCTGTGGGATGCACCTTGCCATCACATAAGGCTGCCCCAAACCACTGTTCCCATCAGTCAGGCATTTTACAGCCTTATGCAGAGCCGGGGTCCTTTCCCCTTGCTTGTGGAAGCTGGTGATGCCTGTAGGTCTTGGAACAGGAGGTGCATTTTGTGCAGAATACACACTCCTTGCTATTGCCAGTGTTGTATCTTGACACAACACCCAGAATTAGGCAGAGTAGGTACCTGCATGGCGCCCCTCTATGGAAGGCGCTTGTAGGCACGTGTCTACTCTGCCTATTGGTAAATCCGGCCCTGCGTCTAACAGGCCCTCAGAGGCTCACCAATGTCATCAATTACAATGCAAGTTCCTTAGTCCTACAATATATGTGTGGACGACGAGGGACAGTACATGAGCTGCAGTGTCAGTGGGAGGCGAGCGCCGACAGTCGGGGGGTAGCGGGCATCAGGTAAGTCCTTTACATAGGTATCCCAGGCCTAATAGAGCAGTTATCCCTTGTAGTGCGGGGGTTGCCCCACTGCAAGGGGAATTCCCCACAGATATAGGGTTTAACTCAATGAATAAGGTGAACCTGCATTCACATCAGTTGTCCAGTTATGTGCAAGCAAAAGTCTGGATTTTTGGGGTATGTGAGGACAACATCGCTTCACCTTATTCACTAAGCTAAGTGCACATTCATTATGTAAAGCAAACATCCTCCACTCCTTTATTAAATAAACCACATAATATCATATCTGCAGCTGAAGCAGTGTCATATTACATGCACTGCCGATGATAGAAGATGCATCAGGCTAATAGCCAACTGTGCCCGCCCCCTCCCCCGTCCGTTTTGCCAGTCAGCCCTGGAGGATCAGACAGGGGGGGGGGATCCCTGCAGGGAGCCGTGAGTGACACGGCTCTCTGCAGGGATAGATCGAGAAGTGAGCGAGCGGCGGTATGTGTTCGCTCACTTCCCGATCTACTGAGCCGACCTGTGACAGTTTCATTGTCACAGGTCGGGTCATATTATGAGGCTGAGTGAAAATAACTTGCCTCATAATTCTCCTTTTAAGGAAACAAATGCGGAGATCTCGTTGACTGTGAACAGCGCAGACATCCTACCCCACTACTCTTACAGCTGCATATTGGGAACCCACATCTGCTAGTTATGTGACCTCTGCCAAACAGCTGATCCAAATCTTTAGCAGGGATCTTGTGATCATGTGCCAAGGCATTCAGTCATGTGATTGGCCGTTATGAGATCCTCAATTGGCAGTTTGTACAGAGAAGGAATGTCAGGGTTCTGTTATCTTCTGTGACACCCAGGGAGCAGGGCGGTCAGGGTAGAAGGGGGAACGTCGTATACACAAATCGGTCTGCTTCAAAAATCACCACAAATCAATATTGCCAGTTACATCAGTGTTGGCCTTGAAACAAGGACGCCTCCTGTACAATCAATTACTTGTTCTCTTGTTAAGTTTCCTTTGAAATAATGGAGCCGTGATGATGTTATCCCGAGAAGGAGATTTGAGCCATTAGATCAAATGTAGAATATCATTGTCCTCTAGTGCCATCTTGTGGCTCAATTTCAGAATACCTACCAAAAGTTACAATTAGTAGTTACAATGTATTGTACACAATGGAGTAACCCATTACTAACCAGTGCAATGTCAAATGCATCCATTCAGAACAGCCAGAATGATAATGCATATATTTTTAATTGTGCAACTTTTTTTCACTTTCAGGCTCTATAGGCATGTACGTGTTTTAGCTTTTATGTCAGTGTGCACCTCTCAGTTCTAATAAAGAAGTAATATAATAATAGTTATTTGTTTACATATCGAATATAAATATAGCTTTTAAGTGTTGCAGTTTCCAAGATGGTATTAGCAAGTCAGTGGTGGATTTTCCTTGTTGCTGTTTAGAGCCCAACTCAAGCCACACCAAACAAATAAATAAATTAATAATAAGAATAATAATATTTGTGCTGTTAAGGTTCAGTGTTAATGAATTATGTTGCACTCTTGCTGATTATAGTAATGGAAGTGGCCTCAGGAGAGTATGGAGACCAGAACCCCAGGCTGGTCCGAGCTGTGCAGGAAATGGGCACTACGGAGCTGAAGATGGACAATTGTGGGGAGAATGAACCCAACCCATTCATGTGGCACACACCGGCTGATGAGGTATTTATGTAAAACATTTAATTACTTTACAAATGTTATTCATGAATTAATTTCAATTTAATTTCAATTCATGATCAACATGTAATATAGAGGAGCACACAATGTCAACTTGTGAACAACACAAAAGGAGAAAAGCACCCTGCATCCTGTGACTCAGCCCACAATATGATTCATATGAATAACAAATATTCTATAAGATTCAACCCGTAACACGTGAGCCTAAAAATCAAAGATTATATAAGAGTTGCAAAAATTACATAGAAAAACAAATCCATGCAAGGGTTTTTCACCTCTATATATACACATGGCATGTATGTCACCTCTATTATACACAATGTATACACATGGCATGTAAGTCACATGAAGTGAGCAATCTAGGACAACATCGCTGAGCTGGAAAGTGAGCTGAATTGGATAATTTTTCCAAATCAGCTATTTTGTCCTAGATTGTTCACTTGTCCTCCCTTCTCCAAACTCTTCACCCTTTAGTGAATAGCCCTGTTAGTCTTTGAATCCTAAAAAGGTATCGTCAGTGTCATCATCGGAATTCTGATCAGGAGATGAAGAAGGCACGGGAGATGATGGAGTAGATATAGAATAACTAGTAATAGGGGTCCTGGGTGTAGTTTTCGAGAAAAATCCCGTTAGTGTGGTCCGTTTTGTCATTTTCTTTTTTGCTTCATAAATTTCACGATAGCAACGTATTTGCCGTTCCACTTTTGTGAACCGTTCAACAATCGGATCCATAGCTTCCAGTTCTAACATAGCTGCATTCACTTCTGAGAACACACCCGCTAATCCCTTTGCAGTGAAGTTCTTTGGTAATTCTTTCCTCTTCTTCTTCCTCCTCTTCTAAGTGTTGCTGTGCTTCCAACTCTATTAAATCTTCCGTACTTAGCTCTCCCTCAGTATATTCCACTAATTCTTTAATATCTTGCAGTTCAACCTCAAAATTAAAGGAGAACTATGAGATGAGTGATTTCCACTCACCTCATAGTTCTAAGCCGACCTGTGACAATGAGACTGTCACATGTCGGCTCAGTAGATCGGGAGGTGAGGGAACACATACCGGGTTCCCTCACCTCTCGATCCTGTCATGGCTCTCTGCCGTGACAGGGGGAGGGGCTGGATTCCCCGCTCCGATCTGCCAGCGCTGACTGGCGGAACGGACGGGGGAGGGGGCTGGTACAGCTGGCTCTGCCTCTAGATAGCCAGAGCCAGCTGTCACTCACGCAGCTGGGCGGACCCCGTCATCTACGTCGGGATCCGCTCCAGGTGCGGCTCGCGGTATACTGAGCTCGCGGTATACTGAGCTTAGGGTGACGAGAGGACACTAGTTTGTGTCCCTCCCGTTACCCTAAGGAGAACTATGGGGAAAAACACTGACCCCATAGTTCTCCCTTAAAAGCCTTGAAGCCAGGCATTGTTTTAGCTTCTGTGTGTGTGTAGGACCTTTCAGGCATTTTCTTCCAAAAAAGTCCGGTTTCATCCACATTGAAGATTTGTTCTGGACAGTAGCCGCCTTTCTCTATGATTTTATCAAATTGGTCAAGAAATGTTTCTGCTGCTTCTACATCTGCACTTGCCGCCTCACCACTGACACTCCGATTATGCAGGTTAAATCTGCGACAAAACCTCTGAAACCATCCATGACTTGCTGTGAAAGTTTCAGTCGACTCTTCACCTTCACGCGCCTTCAAAGTCTTGAAGATACTGAGTGCCTTGGCTTGAATTATTGAAAGACTCTTTGGCATTCTTTTTTGTATTTGGTCATTAAACCAGATCGCCAATAATTTTTACATGTCATGGATGAGGCCTTTCCGCTGCCTAGTTATTATGGCTTTAAAACCTGTTGATGTTTTCACTGCCTCCTTCACTCTGTCTTTGTCCTTCAGGATGGTTGAAATGGTTGAATGTGCCAGATTCACGTCCCGTGCTATTCCATTAACTTTTTTACCAGTTTCATAGTCATTTATGATCTTCACTTTCATGTCAAGATCAATGGCCTTCCTTTGTTTTTTGCTGCTTTTTCCTGGTGAACTCTTCCGTTTTGATGACATCTTGTACTAAGGGTTACAAAATAAACAATACAGTATGGAATAAGGTACCCAGATCTCCCAACACTACTCTTCAAGAAAAAGAAGTATTGTACAGTACTGTACATTGTCACACTACAGGTACCACCTGGGCTGCACATCAAAGAAACAGCAAGGTGGCTGGAATGGCTGGCACACCATGCATATACAGTACTGTAGTGTTGCAAATATACAGTACTGTACTATCCATACAGTACTGTACTGTAGACAGTATGCTGCATAATACTCACCCAGAAATCTGTAGATTTTCTGCATAGAATCAATGTCGCAGTGTAGCAGTAGAAGTCACCATAGGCCGCACTGTACAGTACTGTAGAAGAAGCCGTAATGCCGCTCATGCTCCTACGTCTGAACTGCGCGCCGCGCGGTCGCAAGTCCGAATTCCGTCGTAAGTCTGAAAACACACCCCCAGTCGTAAGTCCGAGCAGTCGGTAAACAGGTAGGTCGTTAAACGAGGAATGTCTGTATACACATGGCATGTATGTCACCTTTATTATATACAATATATACACATGGCATGTATGTCACCTCTATTCTACATGATATATACACATGGCATGTATGTCACCTCTATTATACACAATATATACACATGGCATGTATGTCACCTCTATTATACACAATATATACACATGGCATGTATGGCCACTTAGCAAAATACTATATGATGGTATGTATAGATTGCGATGGTGTTGCACATACATGAGTGATCATTGGGTAGTAGACATGTATCATTCTGAATCGAAAATCGTACGAATTCTCGGAAATTTGTACATTTGTGCATTCGAATTTCCGAATGGCAGAAATAACAAAACTTTTGGATTCATCCGAATGTACCACTTTCCGAAAATTCGTTACAAATTTCAATTGGGATTTTCGTTTCTGCGGACTGTAAAAAAAATTTAATTGTCTTGCCTTTTCTTTGTCACTTTGCTGCAATGAATATTTGTTCACAATTAACGAATATTCGTCCGAATACGAATTCCGAACCAAATTGACTTCCGGACCCGAATCCCAAAAAACTATATAACGGAAAATCTGAAGCGAAGCTAAACGGATTTTTGCCAGCTTACATGTCTATTTGGTGGTGAAGAACCTGCAAGAATGATTACACTAGAGCTATGTTGCACAGTTTTGATCACCAAATGATCATCTTTGATTTGTGATTGACATAAGTCATATTGACTTATGCCTGAAAAATGGAATGCAAGTGGATATCTGGTTTCCATAGACTATGATGGAATAAAAACAGCTTATTATAGTAATAACTGCAGAAACAAACAAAACAGTATATGATAAGACAAAAAAGTTAATTTTTCTGTGCATGTGAAAATACTGTGTCTTACACCCTATTTGGTTACCTGACAATATGTATGTGTGATTTGCAGGACTCCTTACCCTCAGAAGGATGTCACAGCTTCTCCGCCAGCTGTCTCACTCAGTTCTGTATCTTATTTAAGAGAACCTGTCTTAGCATCATGAGGGACTCGGTAAGTTACTAGTTCCTATATGCATTCTATATATATATAGATAGAAAACAATATATGTATAAAGAAAAAAAACATATATAAATAGATAGATAGATAGATAGATAGATAGATAGATATTATAATTAGCAAAATGTAACAAAGGAGTTTAATAAAGGGTGCAGAGGCCCTTCTTCTATTCTCAGTGCAATAACCTAAAGAACTCCAGGGAAAAAATAATATTAACCCTTGCAGTGGGGCTACCACCACACTGCAAGGGTTAACTGCTTGTTTTCATCTAAGGACTAAAATAAAAAAGTTATACTCGCCCGAAACGAGTCCCAGTTGGCTGGGAAGCCGGCTCCATGTTACCTTGCGGCACTGCCGGTCAGAGGAAGTCTCCCTCTGACCGCAAGTTCCGGTATCCGTAAGGTATCGGAGCATTTGGGCGACTACTCCTACACGCCCAAATGCTGGGTATTGGCACAGATACCGATACTAATATTGGTATCGGTGCATCCCTACACCACACTAAGGCAGGATTTTGTAACCACAGAAGCCATTTTTTAGCTGCAAAGCCAGATAACAACAATGTGACCCAATAATATAAACAATGGGTATAAACAATACATAACTGGAATTATGATCAAAGTCTTTGAAGGTCATCTTCAAGTCCACCCAACTAGTATCTGCACACTAGGGCCCTACGCGCATGACACCACCTCAGGGACATTACCATCACAACTGCAGATGCCAACGAATAATAACTCAACCACAGGGATGCCATACCTGAAATGGTTCCCCAAGGTTAATTGACCTTTAATTGTGGAGGCTGTCCTTTGAAAGACCCCAATACTTAGCTGCAGTGACAATGGAGATCAAAATAAAACAATATATTGTAGGTGCAATAGATAGCGCATGAAGAGGAATCTAAACATGGCTGGGGGAGGGGGAGGTGCTCCACCAAGGTTGCTAACTCTGACAGAAGCTGGAACCTTCGCTCTCCATTGGACCCTCCTGCAGGTCCTCTTCATCCCATTAACTTCAGGTCCCTTACCTCTAGAAAACTTTCCCTTACCATTTACCTCTCCAAACCCAGTCATGTAGTCCACCCAAAGACGCCTCTGTTTATTGCTCCAGGCCTGACTTGTGTGTTTTCTGACACTATGAAAGCTTAGTAAATGGGACACTGCTGACTATGGTACAATTAGGTAGTTTTTTTAGTCTTTAAACCAAAAATAAAATGTGGCACCTGTGCAGTGAGAACATCGTAGCTCTGCCAATGGCTAGCTTTTAGTGACCTAGATTTGTATGGCTGATCCTAATAACTCATGACTTTCTCTGCATTTTGTAGGTGCTGACCCACCTCCGTATAACATCACACATAGGAATCGGGCTGCTCATAGGATTACTCTACCTTGGAATTGGAAATGAGGCGAAAAAAGTTCTGAGCAACTCGGGTTTTCTCTTCTTTTCCATGCTCTTCCTGATGTTTGCCGCCCTCATGCCAACAGTCCTCACCTGTGAGTACCACTAGTGCTTTTTCCTGTGGATCAATATTCATTTACTTTGATCATCATGTGGGAACTGATGAGCACACAGTCCCAGTAATCTGGAGGGGGAAAATGCAGTGAGAAGGCCATCCCAAAGAGTAGGTGAGACTGGGATGGATGGGCATGAGTGGGAGACACACTTAAAGTGTATGTTAAGGCAAAACAGTTTTTTAGGTTTTGGATAGAGTAAGGAAGGGTTTGAGCAATCCCCTTCCTCCTTGCACCTCAAAGCCCTCTCCTCTTTTGTGAGTGTCTAAATACTGGTTGTACTGGCCCAGCTCCCATCACCTCCCTGCTTATCCTGTTATGTACTAGCAGGGGTAGGAGTGAAGGGGCACACTATAGAGTGCCACTTGAGTGTCACATTCAGGATGGGGCTCCCAGTAGAGGTCTCAGGGCTTCCAGATGTCTACACAAGGGAGGCTTTAATAGGTAAATGCATTAAATGCACATACAATGCACATACAATCTAATGGGAAGCTTGTTGCTGAAATGAATTGCCTGAGGACAGGGTCTCTTTAAGTAAATCATTTTCATTCAAAAAGACTTTGCAACACACTGTGTGGAAATTGCTGCTCTAATGACACGTATCTCAGCTTGACAAAGAGGCAAGGACCTCGAAACGCGTAGCGCTATCTGAACGCACTGAGCACCATCTCTGATCACCATCTTCACTGACGCTCAGGGAGTTCAGCCGATTCCACTACACCGCGGCCCCTTTGTCCCCAATTGCAGCCTCCCGTGCAGTCCGACTTGCTGACACCCATCCAGCGGACACTTCACACTGCTGTTGCGGCCAGGCCTGGCAAGCTCAGTCCGCACAGCCCCAGCATCTGACTATTCTTGCCAGCCAAAGACCATCCAGGCACGCACCCATCCACCCCACTGCCACTTCACCCTGTACCCTGGCTAACTCACGTTCTACACAGGGATTACAGAGGACCTTCTCCTGAGACACAGGGACACCTCAAACGTGAGTTTATCCATACAGTAGTAGCGCTCTAAAAATTATTTGTGCATTGTCTCTAATTACACATGGCATGTTTGTATGTCTCCTATTGAGCCCAATGTCTTTAATATGTAAACGCGCACGCTGGTCATACATGTAATGATACCAATTGCACCATTTTTAACCACTTGCTGCCTGAAGCAATTTCTTACTTTTGCACGCACATGATAAAACCTGAATTTGTGGCTAGAAACCCCCAAACAATTATATATTTTCTGAAAGCAGAGGCCCTGTAGCATACAAAGATGCTAATTGCAATTTTTTATGTTGCACAGTATTTGCACAAATGTTTATCAAACCAGTATTTTTAGGATAAAATACACTAAAATGAAATGTAGTGCACAGAAACAGAATATAATGTCCAATTTTTTGGAAAAATATAAAAGATGGGGTCACGCCGGGTAAATAGATACCAAACATGTCAAGCCTTAAAATTGCGTGCGTCCATGAAACCGCAAACAAATACAATAACCGAAATTTCCCATAGGCGACGCTTTACACGCTTTTACGGCTCATCAGCTAGATCCCTTGTATTTAAAAGCAATCGCTTGCTGTTTAAAACGGTACCAAGAACAAGGCGGCAGCAGCAGCCATGTTCTTGGTATAACCACTTCCAGCGGAGGACGTACATTTACGTGAACCCGCTGGCAGTGGTTAAATCAATTGCGCTGAATAGGAACTTTAATCGATTAAAAATGGAATGATCGGTCCTGAAAGGAAAAACAATCAAATTTCACAATCAAAGTTTAAAAAAAAAAAATATTGTTATGTGTATGAGCAATTAAACATCCAACAACCAAAGACTTAGGTCCTGTTATTATCATGATCATGCTGACAACAGTCCCTCTCTTTCTTCCTTTTGTTTCTAATAGTTCCACTTGAAATGGGTGTGTTTCTCAGAGAGCATCTCAACTATTGGTATAGCCTAAAGGCATACTACTTAGCCAAAACAATGGCCGACGTCCCCTTCCAGGTAAGGAAACACCCCTCAGTCCTCATAAGTAATAGTGTGCAAAAGCAAATGTGTGAATGGAGTTCTTGTAGCTAAATGTAGCCGATCATATTCTCTGTTCTAGGGGTCTAGTGCAGCATGGAGATGCAAAGGATGGATCTGGTTGGCTTTTGTGGGCAACAAGCAAAGTTCTTTTTTTACCTTCAATCACCAAATCCAGTGGTGTTGGACTGGATCCAGTAGCGTTGTGTTTAGATAAAGTGATGCTAAACTCAGGAGTTAAATCCTAAAATTGCAATCAAGTACCTTATCTATTTACAATACTGAACCTTATTTGTAGGGATGCACAGATACTTTTCGAGTACCAGTGCAGATACTTGGCATTTTCATGAGAACTACCAGGGTTGCAGCGGTTGCAGCTGGGACCTGGCTCTGGCCCTCCACCACTGTCCTGAAGTCTGTATTGTTTTAGAAAAACTGTCACATGACAATAAACAAAAATGTATCAGTACTCGTACTTGTAAGTACTCGGCAAGTACCAGTACTCGTACTCGCAAAACTGGTATCGGTGCATCCCTTTATTTATATTTATAAAAACAAAATCGTACATTAAAACCGAGATGTACAAATCCCAGGAGCTCCGTGTGCTCCTTACAAATGACAGCTGACTCCTAATTTTTGAATTTTTCTCTAGTGTAGTCTTGGAGCTCAAAAGTATCGGTACATGTACTCGTACTTGTACCGAGTACTGTACTTGGTATCTGTGCAACCCTA